AATTTTAAGCCAGAATCACACTAAAGGATTCTTTTCCTAAATTTTCACATTTCTCCCAGGTTCGATACAACACCATAATAGGAGGAAGACTTTTATTAATGTTATGGGCTTCAATTGCAAGTTAATCCCCACCTGGTTCTGAGTTTTTTTCTTGACCACTAATGAGGAAGCTGGGGCTGCCCTAGCCCCTCTCCATCCAGCTCTCCCAGTTACTGCGCTGCCCGTAAACCAGCAGACTCTGCTGCCTATGTGGTGCCTTTTTGTGTGTATCCTTTAGGGGTTTGAAGGTTGGTGTAAAAAACCCTACCTTCATGTGAGGACTTGAAGGAGAGTAAATGCAGAATCAGGAAACTAGCATAACACTAGCTATCATGAAATCCAGTTATAATCCCAATTCTCAGGAAGCTGAGGCTCGAAAACTGCCACAAGTTCAAGGCCAGGCTGGGTTACACAGTGAGTTCAATGCCAGCCTGGACTACATAGGGAAACCTTGTCTCAGAGGAAGGAAGGAAGGAAGAAAGGAAAAGGAGAGGAGAGGAGAGGAGAGGAGACAGGAGGGCAGGGAAGGGAAGAGAAAGGAAGGGGAGGAGAGAAAGGAAGAGGGCAGGGGAAGGGACGGGGGAGGAAAAACAACTGGCATGATGACTCTGGTTTTATCTTTGTACACCTATGAGCAAGCCACCTCACCTCTTCAGGTTTGTTTATTTGTCTGTAAAATGGGGATATCTATCTCAGAGTTGTTGGATGAAGTAAAACAAATGTGTCAACATAAAGTACAACATATACAATACAAAGTATAAACTCACAGTAGTAAGGCAGGTGTTTTTCATTTCTACCTAACACAGTCATTTATTTGGTAGTGCTGATATAAAACCTTGAGTGGTAGTACCTTCACTGTGTCTATGTATTGAAAATTTCATGTTTTAATTGCTTTCAACCTATATTATAATAACTTCCCAACATCACAACACTGCTCACAAAACATCTTTAACAGCTGCTGCTAAATTAAAGTGCCTTATGCTTTGGTTCAATTTTCCTTTCTATCCTATCAGTGTTTATCTTTAACCTAACTAAGTTAGTTTGCATGTTTTTCTTTTCTGCAGTCCATGTTTATTGCTTATATGAAAGAATACTTACATTATATAGATTTCAATAAGCAACCAAACACCCAGTCTTCTGTGTTCTGATCAGCCATGAAAATTAAAGTAACTCAGATGATATTTTCTTGAGTTATTTTACTACTAAGAACTAAGAGAGTGACCGAATGAATTGGTATGATTCTATACTTTCTAAATAAATACCTCAAAATATCCAACATTCTGACAAAGAATTAATAATGTATCAATTTCACTATTAGAGTGACTATCATAGAGAACTAGTACAAATGTTTTCACTGAATTCAATGAAATTCCATTTGAATTACACTGAATTCAAATTCCTAAATAATGTTTGATCAATCTTATTTCCTGAATATGGTAACAGTTAAGTTTAAGTAGGTCTCCAAAAGGCCTACCAGCCAGCAGAAGTCACAATGTTAAATTCACTTCCTAGACATCTGGAATCGCAAACATTCTGGGAGACTGAGGAAAGAGGATCATAAGTTTGAGTCAGACTGGATAACTTAAGAGACTTAGTGAGATCCTGTTGCAAAAAAATAAAAAATAAATAAGCACTGGAGATGTAGCTAGGTGCAAAGGTCCCTGGGTTCAAGTTCTCATACCACACACACACACACACACACACACACATACACACACACACACACACAAATTATAAAATAAGAATAAGAATCATTTCCCATTCCCAGACAGGTAGCAGCTAGGCAATAAAGAAACCTGGTACCAGCCAAAGTCACTTGTGGCTTCTTTACACATGCGGACAAAGTGCTCAGGGCAATAAACAGCCACCCTAAACAATACCAATGAAGAACTACCACATTCTCTCCCATAGGAAACTTTTTTTCTGGTTGTTGGTGTTTGGAGGGTTTTGTTTTGTTTTGCTTTTTGTCTGTTTTGTTTTTTGTTTTGGTTTTGAGATAGGCTAAGCCTCGAACTCTCTAATGCAATGCAAGCTGGCCTTGAACACATGGAGATCCTACCACCTCAGCCTCTAGAGAGATGGGATTACAGGCATGCACCATCACATTCAGTATTCCGAAAGAAACTTCTGCAAGACCAAGAAGAAAAGGTAATAACTCCCAGCATTGAAACCGCATACATATAGACTAACTAACACATTTTCACAGCAAGACAGTGTTACCTTTAGCATCCTGGGAATACAAAGGTAGATATACTGTTTCAGCATGGATTAGGGGCAGCCATAAAGTTAGAATCTATATCACATCACTAATCCCATATAAAATGACTTCTTATCCTTTCATAACCAGACCCAGTAAAATATAATATAAAAGTAAATAAGACAAGCCATCAAGTAGGTCATAATCTAGGCACGGAAAACACAATACCAAAATTTAACTGGTGATCACACAAAAGAAACTTGCACGACAAAAGAAGCTTGTACAATGGTGCACACATGTAATCCCAGCACTCAGGAGGCTAAGGTGGGAGGGAAGACTGCTGAGAGGGCAGCACTGTTGACTATTTAGTGACTTCAAGGCCAGCCTAAAATATATAGTGAGACTCTATGTTTAAGAGAAAGAAACAGAGCGAAAAGGAGGAGGAGGAAGAGGAAGAAAAGGAGGTAGCAACTTGCACAAAATGCAATGTCATACAAATGACAGGCATTTATGGAAACAAAGAGAAGGCTTTTACTAAGAGAAGGTAGAGCCTGAACTTTTCATTCTAATCTTAAAGTCAGATAGATACTAGAATGGGGAAGAAAACTTGCACAAGATGAGGCCGGGGATATAGCTCAGTGGTGTAGTGCCTGGCTGGCAAGCGCAAGGTCCTTACTTCAATGGGACCTTCAAGGAGTTCCCTATAACGTAGTCTCTAGTGTCAAAAGATTTATGGCAGAAGAGAAACTAGAACATACAGAAGGGACCAAACCAGTTCATAAAGGTCCCACGAGATGTAGAAGCAGAGACATGCCAGGGGCTAGAGTGGTATTTTGAGGACACAGGAATATTACTTACTCTCAGTGAGAATCAAAGACACCCTGAATAGAGCAAAGGGAATGACCAGGGCAAAACTGTAAGAGATTTAGAACCAATTAACTCCAAATCACTTTTCGTCTCTACCTAACTTTTTTGAATATTAATGGGAATTATTTTTTCTCTCATAGGGAAAAAATAAAACTGAACAATTCAATAACAAAACCTGCAAATCTCCTGTTCATCAAAAACATGTCTTTTAGTTTGATACTTATCAAATGCCCAAAAAAAAAAAGGAAAGAAAGAAAACTGAACACAGTGCTAGATTCTATCAAAGTAGCCCCAGAGAAAGACAACAAATCTCTCCAGCATTTAGACATTTGGAGCCTTCCAGGAAAAACCACCAAAGCCAGTTCTCTGATGTAAATTGAAGGAAAAACAAAAACAAAAACAAAAAACCCTAGAGAATCATCCTGATCAGAGACACACAGAATATAATGCTGTCTGCCGTAATTTGTCAATAGGTATGCCTATTACCTGTTACCAAATAAGGACATATCAGTCACTTCCTAGCTTTTCCACAGAAATCACCAGTAAAAAATCTACCAGAACCAGGAATGACCTTGGACTTTGTAGTGTGCACTCTTGCTAATCAGTACTAGCTAAAGACTACCCTCAACAATTCCCCTACAAGAGTCCCAACAAATGCACACTACATAACCACCTTCCTCATGGGATAAAGGAAACAGCCCTCATCCCTACACAGCACCCAGTCACGTTCCTATTACTAATTTCTGACAATAGCCCCTTAATAGAAAGTACACACTACTTTCTACTAACCACTAGCACTGACCAACCATGAAGCACCAAGCTCCTCATCCCCAATCCACACTGCAATCTACAAAGAAGGCTGAGCATGGTGCTGCGTGACTGTAATCCCAGCAGCTCAGGAGGCTGAAGCAGGAGTCCAAGTTCAAACCCAGACTAGGCAACCTAGCTAGACTTAGTTTCAAAATAAAAAATAAAAAGGCTGGGGATATACCTCAATGCAAAGGGCCTAGGTTCAATTCTCAGTACCATAAAAAAATAAAATAAAAAAAAATGATTGTATTAGTGCCATTTTACAGATGAAAAACAAAACCAAAGCTCAGAGAAGTTAAGCACTTACCAAGGTCAAAATGTGAGCAAGAAACAAAGATGGGATACTTTTAATCTCCAAAGACTATGTTCTTCCTACTGTAACAGCCAACTCTCAGAATTTTTCTAAAGAACCAAAATCTCTAAGTCTTCGTTCCAAGAGTTTCTAAAGTATTTGACTAAGAAGTAGACAAAACATTTGTATAAATACAGTGGTGCCTCAGTTCATGAACTTGATTTTTTCCATGATTCTGGTCATAAACCAAGTTGGACAAGAACCAAATTAAATTCAATGGTTAAGGTCAATGACCTTATGGAGAAATTTGATTCAGTTCTTATCCAGTTTGGTCTGCTACCAGTAAAGAGAATTGAGTTCATGAACTGAGGTATGGTTCTCCACAATTTCATGATAATGGCTGCAACCAAACTGTGAGCATAGTACACATTCGTGAATTAAGGTACCACTGTAATCACCTTGCCCTCAAAGAAAATATGAACCAGTTTTTCATTCCTTTGACCAAGAGACTACAGTATTCCAAATCAAAACTGACAGTAATTTCAAAGAATTTACTTGGATCTAAGTGCTTTGATTTTAAATTTCTTCATTTATTTTGGAGGTATACACACACACACACACACACACACACACACACACACACACACAGAGATAAAAGAAAAGATGTAAAGGACAATTTCATCTTACCAGATTAGGATGATGGCTAACAACTAAAGGAAGAAACATTCAGATTAACAATATATTTTATGCAGTAAAAATTAAGAGGCAAGCAACTTTGAATAGACCCAGGCTTACCTCAATCTTATTCCTGATGTTCCAGAGGACAGCACACCAAGCAGTGAGCAGACACTCCCAGCCTACATACAGTGAACCAGATATAGGGTGTAAGCAATGCCTTCATGCTCCCAAAACCACAATGGAAAGGAGAATATCATGGCTTCCTGGGGAACCTGAACAGATGTACAGTACTTGTAAATCACTGCTCATTGAGGCACACACTGAAACAAATGATTTACCCTGTGATTCTTCTACAGAAGTACTTAAATTTAACAGGTATATTTAAATAAAGCAATGCAAAAACAATCCCATGGTAATGTAAACACATAGTTTTTGTTTTGTTATAGTAGTGGGGATTGCACCAAAGGCCTTTGCACTGAGCTATAGTCCCAGTCCTTTTTTATTTTTTATTTTGAGACAGTCTCTCTAAATCACTAGGTTGTACAGAGGCTGAAATTTGTAATCCTCCTGCCTCAGCCTCCCAAAGTGCTGGGATTACAGGTATGTACCACTACACTCTATTTATAACTCTTTTTGCATGGAAATGTAGAGTTATGCAATTGCTACTACTTAAAATCAGTACACTATAAAAACTTTATTCCAGGTGACTAAAAGCTTACTACACCTCTCTTATTTCTTTTGGTCATAGATGTATAGCCACTTTCAAACCAGGAATACCACAATCAAAATGTCAGAAGACATGGGGCGTGGTAGCACACACTTAAAATCTCAACGCTAGGGAAGTTGAGGCAAGAAGATTGAGTTTGAAGCCAGCTTGGACTACATAGCAAGCTCAAGGCCAGTCTTCACTACAGAGCAAGACTCTGTCTCAAAAAAAAAAAAAAAAAAATTCAAAAACCTTAGTACCAATATACAAGTGCCTAACTTAGTGCCTAGCATAATGCAATAGGTATGAGTTTAAGAAAGGTGACTTAAGATAGAAAATCTTAAAAAAGATAAAGACAGTTTTTGCAGGGAAATTTTTAAGCTTAAGGCAAAATAATCTCTAGAATAACGAACTATCAGTGTAGGTACAAACAAAATTAACTCATCTCATATGCAAATTTATACTGTACTCTAATTACGCTGTGATTCCTAAATAAACTCTAAGTAAATTCAGAAAGTGCGATGATGATTCTGATACTGTTTGTCTTCATGTAGGGTTCACTTTTAAACTTATCTATAGACAAAACACCAAATTTAGCCTGAATAATTGATGCAGAGTTCTGGCCCACAGCTGCAGGCCAAACTTGGTAATTACACACTGCCTTTCAGTGACACAGATTGTCACAGGGCAATAGTGAACAGATCAAATTCACTGAACACTTCTTGTTAAAATAATGTCCTGTGACAGTCAGCAGGAGTGCTGAAATGACAGTCACTAAGGTTTAACAGATTCAATGTAATCACATTGTGGCTTAAAGAAAACAAAGTTTCATGGATTTAAGGATACAAAGTGCTTTTAACATAAACTATTAGGGGTTTCACATCTCTCTAGAGTCACACACACTGAACAATGGTATACAAATTAGTAAAAACAGGCTTTTAGATTAACTTAGATGTATCATAATATCTATTTGTCTCTCATCATAAATAATAGCTACCGTACTAAAAAGAAAGCATGAGTCACAACTCAAAAACAAACTAGAAACATAAAAAAAAGAGGAAAGCTTTGTATCCAAATACCCCCAAAACATTTCTTAAAATACTGTCAATGACAGTCACCACTCTGACTCGGAGTACAAAGAAAAGGTACACACTGTCCTCTACTGAGGAACAAATTCATCAATCCCTCAAATTCCCCTTCCAATCTCTTTCACCTCCAAGTCCAGCCACCAGAGTAGTCAGGCACATTAACTAGCAAAAGACAGCACCTCTAACAGATCTGAGTCACCCACTCCCCCACAGTTAAGAGGTCATTCTCTAGCAGGAAGCCCACTCTGCAAAACTGCTTCGTTCATCTCCTAGGCTACCACCACGACCCACATAAAGCTGAGCCTCCAATCCTAGCGGCCTAACAACCTACAATCCCCAAATCACAATTTCCTCTAACCTCACCCTAACCCAAAGCAGCTAACACTTCACTGGTCTCTACTCCTGTGACAATTCTCACCTTAGAATCACTCACCCCTCGCCTGGGAGAAGGAGGCAGAGTATTTAGCTCTTTGCTCACTCTCTGGTGCCAAATGAGCTCTTTCCTTCACTGGTTGCCTCAGAGACGCTGAATTCCCCAGGTGTCTTCTCCCCCAGCCTGACCACACTCTGCCAAACTTCCAGACCCTGGGAGTGGATATGGAAGAGACATAACCCTGTATGCGTTAGCGACCAAGCACGCCCTGGGCCCTGAAATTCAAAACAAACCTTCTCCCATGCACCCCGCCATGGTTAGTCTCCTGGGCGCTAAGTATCAAAGGCCAAGAGCGCACAATCACTCTAGTTAAATCTCAGTGCCTCTTATGACTCCCTTTCCGGGCTACAAAATCCACCAAATATCAAGCCACCCGGCCCCAAGACGCAGCCAAGACCCTCCTCCAAGCCTCTGGCTACTGGAGTTTCCCGGGTCTAAAACCAGTGTCCTCACGGCCCAGGCCGCCAGGACCATCTTGCTGCCCCAGACCGCCGCACTCCAGAGGCCTGGGCTGCGTCCCTAGTCTGTCCCCATTGTTGCGGTTCCCAGCAGCCCGGCAGGGAGCAGGAGGCAGGTACCGGCTCTCACCTCCCGAGCCGCGGATCCGGGCCCAGCCGGATCCCGCAGGGCCAAGGGATCTAGCGTTCCTCCGCACCCGCCTGGTCAGTGTCTGCGACGGCAGGGGCGGGGGCGGGGGCTGAGGCTGGGGCGGGAAATAGCCAGCCAAGCCGGGACGCCGCTGGCTGGATCTTGCCGAGCGACAGTCTTCTCCGGCGGCGGCGCTCTCAGCCTTCGCTCGCGGTCCGCACCAGAAAGCGTCCCCTTCCCGGTCCGCGCGCTCGGCCACCCGGACGGGAACACGCGCTAGCAACAGGAATGTTCCGCTGTGAGTGGGCTGAAGGCTGCTCTTCCCTTGTGTGGGTTGTATGGCAGATCTTTCCTGGATAGAGTCGTTTATCTGTTACACACGACCCTTTAAAGAGTGAATGAGGTACAGAAATCCTAGTGAGAATCTAGTTCTAGGGGAGATCCAAGGGAAAGGGTGCAAGACCATTAGCAAACGACCCAGACATGCTGCTCATTTGATGCTTCAATTCCTCTTTATTCCTCAGATGCGGATAACTTCTGACGCTTCCAACAGAAATTGTTCTCGGTCTTCTAGAGCCCTTGAAATTGGTGCACACTGTGCTACTTTTCCTTTCCCCTCTTCCTTCCCCAGTTTACTGCTGCAGCTGTCTTGAGAATTACCTGACAGAGAAGCAGAGGTATCACAAATCAGTTTAGGGTTCTTTTGCTCAATTCAGACAGAAATCATGAAGGCAGCTCTGGCCTTTTGCCACCAGTGACCCTCTGTCCTCTGGGCTCTGATGCTCCCCACTAACTAGTCTAGTGCTGGTCTCTGGATCTCTTTAGGACTAACAACTCCTAGTTGTTTATAGGTGTTGTTATTGTTTGTCTTTTTTGTTTTCTTTGAAGCCAACATTATCCACATTACTCAGGAAGAATCCTAAGTAAATTCACAGGACCTTTGAATCCCACACTACCTGGATTCAAATCACAAACACTGGTGCTAATGTTTATTTGAACAGGATCTATACCATAACACACAAAACAGAACCCAGCTACATCAACCGGAGGAGGCTGAGTGCAGTTTGTATAGTCACAGTAGACCTGTGATTGGTCTAGAATGGAGCCTGCTGATTGGTCCAAACTAGAGCAGCAAGCTTTTGGATCCTATCTCACTGGTTGGTCCAAATTCAATTCTAGTGCTTAATTTAAATCTGACCCTGCTGCAGTCATCTTCCAGAGTGGGTGCCATCCTTCTCTCTCGAAATCTTGCACTTTCCTTGGTTGGTCTCTCAGCTGGGATTCTGGAGGTGGCGCATAAAGCAGATTTGGCCTAAAGAACTGAATGAAACAAGTTCAAATGAGAGGTGCAAGGATGACGAAAGGAAGGACAAAAAGATAAGGCTGGCAAGAGAATTGAAGAAGGAGTCTCTCTTCCCCAAATAAAGATTCAAGATACAATCATCAAAGACATCGTACTTACCTTTCTCTTCTATCACTGAGACTGGAGCAACAAGAGTCAGTTCTAGCTCCCTGGTAATGGAAGCCCCTTCCATTCTCTCCTCGCAGGATGCACTTGCCCTTCCATAATATCACTGCTACCTTATTCTTCTGGGGCTTCCCTGACTACGTGAATGTTATCACTTAATAGTTCCCCCAAATTTACCTATCAGAAGTAGGTTTTATTGGAGGAAATCCCTAAAAGGATAAACAGATATAACTGCCTATCAATGGAGCCACCTTCAATACCTTTTAGCTGGGGTTAGGCAAGACTCACCAGTGGTGTGTGTTAATGAATCAGAAATGAGAACTAGACCAGGCAGGAATGGTGGTACACACCTGTAATCTTGGGACTCGGACAGCTGAGGCAGGAGGATTGCCATGAGTTCGAGGCCAGCCTGGAATATATAGTGAGTTCAAGGCCAGTCTGAATTACATAGTGAGATCCTGTCTCAAATAAGTAAGTTAATAAACAAATAAACTATTGGGTTAGAATTAAACTCATGGTCTTGCTGCTCAGCTTCCTGAGTAGCTCACTAGAAGCATGCACCGTAATGCCCAGGTAGTGTTTTTTTCAAACTTTCTGACTATATACCTCCCTTAGTAGGGGATTATAATTTCCTACAAAGCTTGTTTTTTTAGTCATGCCGAAATCTAATGAAACCCTGGCATAACTGCTGCACCATAAGATTTCACATTGAACAACTATTTCATGGGCAGCAACCTTGTACTGTACACTGTTAGGTGCTGATAATAAAATGTAATAGGGGGGTCAGGGATGGTAGAACACTTAGCCAGCATGTGAGAAGCTGTGAGTTCAATCCCCATCACACACACAAAAAAAGGGGGAAAAAACACTTCAGGGATGATTGTATGCATTTTTACAGTATTAATCCATTTAATCTTCACATCAGCATTGTGAAATATGAAACACATCCCACTTCAAAGGAGGAAAAACTGATTCTGAGTAGAAAGAAGAAGGGTGGCTCTGAGTGTACAACATTTTAAATCCAGAACTTATGCTTATAGTCATGTACTAAAGTAAACAAACTCAAAGCTCAACTTCAAGAAGTCTGATCTACAAGATACGACTGATAAAAATCTCTCCCACATATGTTTATTTAGCAGAATCTATTGTTCCCCAGTTGCATTTTTAATTGTCTTGTATTTTTACATGTTATTATTACCCAATTATATTTCCGATGTTGATCTACAACACTAATAGAAGATGACAAGTATCTACCCTTGAGTAACTTACCTTCTAAATAGGGAAGACAGACAACACAAATAATTTAAAATCCTAATAAGTGCTGAAAAGAATATAAAACAGAGACTTTTGGGGAAAAGATCGTTGGAAGAGGGAAGGCATTGGGTAAGACCATCCTCATAAGGTGACCTACGTCCTAAAACATGAATGCCAAGAATAATATAGAACACCACGTGAAGGATTAGAGAAGAATTCTAGGCAGAGAGACCAGAGCAGAGAGGCAGTATTCAGTGCAAGAAGCACCCCTTCTTGATTGTCCCTGATTATGAAAAAGTAGTCTCTGTCTTTGCAATTCTGTGGTCTTGGAAGATAGGGCTTGATAGGGGTGGGGAGGATGTGAAGAGGCTGCTGATCAAGTGTCCCAGGAAAGCAACACAGATACTTATACTTGTTAAATGTACATGGTAATTCATAGTTGTAAGAGATACAAGAGCCAGTCCTAGCTGGACTTCAGAGTCTGTATGAGAAGGCAGATATGCTACCTGATTGATAAATGACCATGTACATTTAATAAATCACATGTCAGACAGCATAGAAAGAAGAGCTTGGAAAATCCTATAGAATGTAATTCCAGGATTGGAGTGTGGCTCTGTGGAAGTGTGCTTTCCTAGCATGTGTGAGGCCCTGGGTTTGATTGAGAGAGAGAAGAGTAGTGAGGAGGAGATAGAGCGAAGAGTAGTGAGGAGGAGATAGAGAGAGAGAAGAGAGAGAAAGAGGAGAGAGAGGAGAGGAAAGAGATCCATTCATTTTTCATCAGCTTCCCTTGTGGGGGGTCTTCTCACAAAGCAGCTACTGACTGAGCTATTGGGATTTACCAGGAATAGCACACATCCTTGCATTCTCAGCCAAACTCTGTAGTCCAGTTATGACTCCTTCTTATATTTCTTACAACTACTCTTTTTCTCATGTTGTTCTGCTATCTAAAGCCACCTCATGTTTAGCAAGTCTTCTTCTGTTACTCTCTATATTATATATATTCTCTATATTATATATTATATTATTCTCTACATTGTGCCAAGAGCCCACATCTCCATTTTCCCATGGTATGGTTTGTACCATCCTTAAAGAAATGACCTAACACAAGGTATTATTATCCAGATGGGTTCTGTCAGGCATGCTTAAAGCTTCAAGGGATACCCAACACTCTTCTTTCCCATTGCCTTATATGTCTACCTCAATGACAAGCCCAACATAAATTCATATTTATTGCAATATTCATTGAGCTCTAATGCACCTATTCAGGGTATTGAGGACACTGGTAAGATGAACAAGGTCCCTCTTCCCCTGGCCCTCACAATCTCATCAGGGCAGAGAGCTAATAAACAGATAAAGAAAATATCAAATAGCATTAAATGTTCTGGAAATAGAGTGGGACAATGGTGGCTGGGAAGCGACTTCATTGATTCGTGTGTGTGTGTGTGTGTGTGTGTGTGTGTGTGTGTGTGTATGCATTTATGGGACAGGGTCTTGCTATGCTCCCTTTCAGAATGGACTTGAACTCATGATCCTCCTACCTCTGTCTCCTTATAACTACAGCTGTGCACCACTGTGCTCAGCCCTGGGCAGCTACTTTCTTTGTCTTTATGAGATATGATTTCGCTATGCAGCTCAGGTTGGCCTTGAACTCACTTTTTAGCCTAGGATGACCTCCTATTCACAAAGATCCTTCTGCTTCAGTCTCCCAAGTGCTGGAATTACAGGTGTGTGTCACCGTACCTGGCCATGGGCAGCTACTTTAAATGGGTGATCCAGTTGCCTCAGTCTTCAGAGTAGCTGGCATTACGGATATGCGCTATTATATACAGCTTAAGAAGGGAATTTGGATGTGGTGGTGCACACATATGGTGATGTACCTGACGCACAGCCTTCTGAGAGTGCTAGAATCACAGGCATGCATCACCATGCCTGTATTGAAAGCTTTCTTCTTAAGAGCAGAAGTAAAACTAGAATGCCTATTTTCACCTACACTTTCCACCCACCCCTCATTGGTAATGAAAAATTGAACATAGGGTAAATCTTGCCCAAGTTCTGTAGCTAGGAATTGCAATACAATGCTTAAAAGCACTCAACTATATGGAGAGGTGCATTCTCTAATTGCAACTATTTAGAAGGCTGAGACAGGAAGATCACAAAATCAAGAACAGCCTGGGCAACTTAAGGAAACCCTGTCTCAAAATAAATTATAATAAATCTGAGAATGGGAATGTGTACTTGTAATTCCAGCAACATGGGAGGCTGAAGTAGGAGAATCAAGAGTTTGAGTCCAGCCTGGAAAATACAGCAACTTGGTGAAAAGGGCTGGGGATGCAGCTCAGTGTGAAGGTTGTGGAATCAATCTCTGGTACCAAATAAGTAAATAATTTTTAAAGGGCTGGAGCTATAACTCAGTGGTTGAGTATCCCTGGGCTCAATTCCCAATTATAACAAATAAATAAATAAATAAATAACTTAACAAGGAAACAAAGTACTTGTTT